ACACCTCCTCCCTGCTACCTTGTAAATGGAATGAGGTTTTCTTTTGTGTTTCCCCCTCAGGGGCATCATGTGAGATCTCAGTGTGCTGCTTGACACACTTCTATGGCTACTTTGCAACACCTGTGCTGCTTGAGTTCACCAGTGAGCAGACTGAACTTTTCACAATTGGGCGTTTTGTGTCTGCTGTTGCTAACAGCAAATTAGCAGAACAGCTGGGTCCTTCTGCTCCATATCGACCCTATGAAGCCAGTCTTCGTAAACCTCAGCTTGTGACTACAGAGAATGGCATCCTGCCAGATGAGTATGTAGTGATTCTCTATTGTGCTTCCTTTGTTTAGATCAACCTCCCTCCTCTTCCTTAAGCCAGTTTTCTCCTCTTAAGCACAGCTTGTCAGCAGAGCTGTTCCTTGCCTGTGCCTTTCTCTTCTAACCTGTTCTTCCAAAGTCCATTGACTTCTCGTCCTCACTCCAACCTGATTAGTCTGCAGCTTCTTTCCTTTTGTGTGCCTTGCCTGTGTGATGTACACTGTTAAACCTTCTGGGGTAGAGGTTGTGTCTCCTCAGTTCTGTACCTAACAACCTGTGGTAGACAGTGGAAGTCTGAGCTGAGGTCTGTTGCTGCACTTTGGATGGATAGAGCTAGACCATTATGGATTGTAATCTCTTATAGAACTTTGTGTCCATTTTCCAGCCTTTATCTTTCTTTTCCTTGTAAGTCGTCCTTAAGATTAAGATGGTAGAATGCTATGTTTGGTCCACAGAAAAAAATCCAAAACAAAAATAGTGTAATGTCTTTTTCATGAGCTCATCCAAAATAATGTGCAACCTTTCAGGTTATGCAGAGCTCTGTAATCAGGTTGGGTGATCAATATAGAAAGGGGCGAGGAGAGAAAATTGTTTCAGGATGTGACGAAAAACCTGTAGTATATGCTCAGTAGCACTGTAAATGGAATTTTTGGATGCATTTCCTCCCAGTTCTCCCATTTTTAAAAAAATGTGCCATATTCCTCTACCATATTCCTGCACACTAGTATATCTTCCATCATGCCCTTGAGCTTAGTCATCCATATTCTATCCTTATTGAGAAGAAAAGAGACTAGCTAAATACCAGTTTATTTCATGTTTCTTCATCCTGCAGCCTAGTTATGCAGCTGCTGCCACAAAACACCTTGTTTGGTATTTAAACAGATACCTAAGCTATCAAAGCATTGTCTGTGGTGCTTGATCTCTGGTAATAGTTTCAGACATGCTAGTCGTTACTTGATGAAGTCATTATAATGTACTGAAAATGAACAGCTGAGCTCTGAGCAGGAGCAGGAGAGAGAGCTGTGAGAGTGGTGAGTGGGTTTCTTTTACTTGCTTTCAGCTGAGAGAATTCAGCTAAGGATATTTTGTGGGAAAACTGTGTTTAGCAGTGTGTGGAAGCACTTAGAGTTCTTGCAGAGTCCTGGCTGATTGAGTGTGGGAGAGGAACGGGCATTGTTTGACTGGGATTGCCTGTAATTGAGAGGAAGTGGAAGGGGCATTGTTTTGCCTGTGATTGAGTGCCTGGGTGAATTTGAATTTGAATAGCTGCTGCCTGACCTCTGCTGGGGGAGGCCTCTATTTAAGGAAACACCTTGCCAGAGGCAGAGGAGACCAGCTGAGCTCTGAGCAGGAGCAGGAGAGAGAGCTGTGAGAGTGGTGAGTGGGTTCCTTTTACTTGCTTTCAGCTGAGAGAATTTAGCTAAGGATATTTTGTGG